CCCTCGGGGGCTGCGGGGAGCGCGGCTGTGGGTGGAAAAGCTGAAGGTCTCGGGAGGGCTTAGCGGGGGAGTTCGGGGGTTCCCGAGGAGGTTTTGAGGGGTCCGTGAGGGGGTTTGGTGTCCTGAGGGGACTCAGGGGGGAGGTTGAAGGTTCCTGAAGGGGTTTGGCGGCCTCTGAGGGGGTTTTGGTTTCTGAGGAGATTTGGGATGTCCCAGGTGGGCTTTAGGGGTCTGTGGGGAGGTTTGGGGGTCCTGGGGGGCTTTGCGGGGACCTTTTCGGCAGTTTTGGGGTCTCTAGGGGGTTTACGGGGTCCCAGACGGTTTTGAGGGTCCCTGAGGGGGGATTGGGGGGTCCCTGAATGGGCTTGGGGGGTCCCAGGTGGGTTTTGCGGATCACTGAGAGGGTTTAGGGAGTCCTGGGGGGGGAGATGAGGTTTCTGATGGCATTTGAGGGGACCTTGAGGAGGTTTCGACGGGTCGAGGGGTGGATTTCTGAGGGGATTTAAGGGGTTTTGAGGAGATTTTGGGTTGTCCCCTAAAGCCCAGCAGTGGGGTGCAGGGGGTCCCCCAGCTCCCGGGGGAGGGGTCGTAGGTCCAAAATCCGGAAAGGGAGATACACTGCATCCAGGTAAGGGCATCCCAGTGCCCCCAGTATATCCTAATGACCTTCCAGTGACTCTCAGTATGACCCAGTAAACCCCTCAGTGACCACTCAGTGTGTCCTAGTGATCTCCCACTGCCCCCTCTATGGCCCAGTGATCCTGCAGTGAGCATCCAGTAACCCCCAGTATGGCCCAGTAACCTCCCGGTGTCCCCCTGTGTATCCTGGTAATCCCCCAGTAACTCTCCAGTTCTCTGCCAGTGCCCCCCAGTGTGCCCCAGATCACCTCCAGTCCCTCCCAGTGCCCTCCCAGTGTCCCTCAGTAACTCCCCAGTCCCTCCCAGTTCCCCCTGGTTCCCTCCACTGTGTCCCAGTATCCCCCAGTAATCCCCCAGTGCCCCCCAAAGCCCCCCAACTGTCCCCAACGTGTCCCCAGATGCCCTTGGCCTTTCTGTGAGCGTGGGGGGGGGGAAGGCGTTTTTGTGGTCAGAGGGTCCGGGGGGGCTCCTGGAGTGAGATGGAAGGTTGGAGACATCAGAGATGGCATTTGGGGACAGTGGGGAGGGGTTTGTGGACAGTGGAATTGGGGGTGTCAGGCGGTGGAATTGGAGCCCTGGGGAGAACCTGGGGACAGTGGAGACACTAGCGGGGTCTCAGGGTGTCAAGGGGGGAACTGGGGACACCAAGAGGGTCTTGGAGACACAAGGGGGGTCTTAGGACTCAGCTGCTCATGGTGGAGCTCCTCCTCTTCCCCCTCAGGCCCCTTTAACCCCCCCCAAATGTCCCTTACCCCCATTTTCCCTTTAATCCCCTCCCCCTACAGATCTTTTTGATCCCCCAAAACCCCTTTTAACTCCCCTAAATTCACCCAAAATCCCCCAAATCCCCATCCAACCACCCCTCCAGATCCCCCTAAATCTCCCCCAGCCCCCCCCCCAATCCCTTCTAACCCCCCCCAAAGAGGGATCACCCGGCACCCTGGGACAGGAACACAGTGGGCTGTACTGGGAGGGCGCTGGGGGGGCTCAGGTGTCCCATGACAACGTGGCCCAGCTCCAGGAGAGATCTGGGGAGCAGTGAGGAGGTACTGGTCTGTCCTGGTCTGTCCTGGTCTGTACCCCCAATCCCCAAAGCCCCTCCCCAGCTCTCCCAGGACCCTCCCAGACCCCAAAGCCCCCCAGGCTCCCCCAGCCGCCTGAGTTGGTCCTGCTGCCCCTTGAGCATCTGCAGCTCCTGCAGAACCAGGCATTTCATCAGCAAATGTGCAGCTGACCCCAAGCTGGGGGTGTGTTGATGTGCTGGAAGGCAGGAGGGCTCTGCAGAGGGACCTGGCCAAGCTGGATCCATGGGCTGATTGCAAGGGGCTGAGGTTCAAGCAGGCCAAGGGCCGGGTCCTGCCCTTTGGCCACAAGAAGCCCCGTCAGCCCCCCGGGCTGGGCCAGAGTGGCTGGAGAGCAGCCAGGCAGAAAGGGAGCTGGGAGTGTGGATGGACAGGAAGCTGAAGAGGAGGCAGAGTGTGGCCAAGAGGGCCAAGGGATGGTGTCCTGGCTGAGGAAAAGTGTGGCAGCAGGAGCCTGCAAGGAGGAGCAGAGACAGCCCTGGCAGTGTGGGGGGCCAGGTTGTCCCTGTGCCTTCCCCTGCAGGCCCTGGCTGTCCCTGCTGGGCCCCTGTCAATCCCCATCAGGTCCCTGCCCGTCCCCCCCGGGCTGAGCTCCCCCCAGGAAGTGCCGTGGAGCTGAAGCTGCTGCCATCCCCCCCTGCAGCCGCTGGCCCAGCCAAGGGAGCAGCAAAGGCAGGGCCAGGAGCAGAGGCAGCAGCAGGGGAGCCCTGGGGGGGCCGGGAAGCTCTTGTGTGGGGCAGGAAAGAGGCGCTGGGCATGAGGCCGGGGCTGTGCTGAGCAGGCCCAGCCCTCACATCCCCCCAGCCAACGCCAGCTGCCCGGGGGGCTTGGAAGGGACCCCCAGCCCGTGTGCCCCACACTCAGCTGGCAGAGAGAGAGCCAAGGGACAGGACCACGGGCAGGGCCACGGGTGAGGGACAGCCAGGGAACAGCCTCCCACTTGCCAGCCCTGCCTTGGTGGGGTGATACTGTCCCTTCCCTACAAGAAACTCCCCCCGAAATCTTTGTGGGGACCTTTTGTGTGTATTCCTGGTTGCTGATTCCTGCTGGGGACCTGAGGGAGCCTTTGCAATCCCATCCATGGGGCACAATCTCCTCTCCAGAGCTTGACTCCCTGCAGACTTTGCAGGGAAATCTGTGCTGGCAGCCCGAGTATGTCACGATCCCCCCTGCACTCCCCCCAGGATATTTTGGATGAGTTTCCCCTTCCCGGGCACCCGCAGGATGGGGGGGGTGATTGTTCTCCTGCTGTTCCTGTTGCTGCTCTGCCCCTGTCCCTGCCCTTCCTGCTGCTGTGCGTGAGTGGAGCGGCCACAATGGGAAAGGGATGAGAGAAGGGAAAAGAGTGAGTGGGGTGCCCAAAGGGAGCATGAGGGGCGGTGGGTCACCCCCAAAGGGAGCTGGGGGGAGCCAGGGTTTGGGGGGCCGATGGGAAAGGGGTGGGAGGGAGGGGGAGTAGGGTTGCTGTGGGGGTCCCTCCATGTCCCCATGCCTTGATCCCTGGAGAGAGGGGGGAGCTGCTAGAGCCCCAAGAGCCTGGAGAGGGGGGAGTAACTCGAGACCCCTGTGCTGAGCCAGCGGTCGGGGCCGTGCTGTTGGTGCCAAATTGCCCCTGGTCAGGCTGAACCCAGAGCCCGCCCACGTGTCAGGGGGCCCGATCCACTCCCTGCTCTCGCGTCCCTGGGGCAGCCTCTGGTATCCCCCCACCTGTGGGGCTGTTTGGTTGCCTTGGGCACAGCCGGCCCTTGTGCAGGGCTGTGCCCTTGGGGGCTCTTGGGGGTGGGCAGGAGTTGTTTTTTGGGGGTGCCGGGCTGGGTTGGGGGCAGAGCCCCGGTGGTGGGTGGGGGGATGCGGGTCCCCCCTCACGGTGGGGGTTGGTGTTGCTGGGTCAGGCCCCGCCGGCTCCATTGTCAGCCCGGTGCCGGTGGGGGGGACACAGCGGTTTTGGGGGCCCCTGGGAGTGCCGGGGGTGGGTGTGGAGCCCGGGAGCTGCCGAGTGTGGAGGGCGGAGCGGGGGCGATGCCGGAGCTGGGGGACCCCCGGCAGCCTGGAGGGGGGAGCACGGAGAGGGAGGAGCCCCGGGACCCCCGGGAGCCTGAAACAGGAGATGTGGAGAAGAGAAAACCTGGACTGTGGGGACACCTGGGATCCCCGGGACAACAGAGTGTAGAACCTGTAGAGTGGGAATGTCTGGGAGCACAGCACCCCAAAGGCAAAAGTCAGAGGAGAAGGGACCCTTGGGACCCCCAAGACTCCCAGCATCCCTAAGTGGGACCCCCAGCATCCCAGACAGAGGAAACCCCCCAAACCCCAGAGGGGAGAGACCAGAGAGGAGGAACTTATGGGAAAGATTTTTTGAGCTGAATCTTCATATTTTGGAGAGTTTTTTTGCTGAATCTCAACTTTTTGGATTTTGGGGGGTAGTTCATCTTGCTATTTCTGAGGGGGTTTTTGCTTGAATCTCAGAGGTTTTGGTTTTTCTGGGCTGAATCTTGGTGTTTTGGAGGTTTTTGTGGTCACAGGATGCCCAGAGAGTTCTAGAGATGGACTTGGGCAGGAGGAACCCCCAAGCCAATGCACTCAGCCCTTGTTTTCCCCTCCCATCAGGATTTCTCCTTCCCAAAACTTGGTCGGATGGAGGAGGAGGCTGCGAGGAAGAGGAAGATGCCTTGGGCCCCCCAGGCAGGTGAGGAGGAAGTCAGTGGCCCTTTGGGCGGGTGTTGTGCTGGCTCTGGCAGCCGAGCATGGCCCCCGGCTGCAGGACAACCCCGCTGCCGCCGCCGTCCTGCCGGGGCCGGAGTTGGGGGGATGTCCTTGGCCTTCCCTGTGGGCCAGAGGCAAATCCCCTCCCTGTTCTTCTTGCTTCCTGCCCCAGGCCCCGAGCTGAGGACGGAGAGCCCGGAGGACAAATCCCCCCGGCAGAGCCTGGTGGGAGAGGCCATTTTGAAGGGCTCCCCGGCGCAGGAAGGCAGCGGGGAGGAAAAGGTCCGGAGATCCCTGCGGAGGAGGGGCTCCAAAGCCAGCCCAGGGTGCTCTGAGGAGGAAAGACCCAGCCTGTGCCGGGAAGGTGGCCAGAGCTTGAGGGAGAGCTCTGAGCTGGTGGTCCCTGAGCAGCCTCCCAGCAGGGAGAAGCGCTTCAAGTGCTTGGAATGTGGGAAGAGCTTCAGACTGAGCTCCGACCTGCTCCGACACCAGCACATCCACACTGGGGAACGACCCTACTCATGTGGGGAATGTGGGAAGAGCTTCAGTGACAGCTCCACTCTCCGCAAACACCAGATGATCCACACTAGGGATCGGCCCTACAAGTGTGGAGAATGTGGGAAGAGCTTCAAGCATGGGTCCACCCTCCGCACCCACCAGCGCATTCACACTGGGGAAAAGCCCTACATGTGTAGGGTGTGTGAGAAGAGCTTCAGTGACAGCTCCGACCTCCGCAAACACCATCGCATCCACACTGGGGAACGGCCCTACACATGTGGGGAATGTGGGAAGAGCTTCAGCCAGAGCTGCAGCCTCCACACCCACCAGAACATCCACACTGGGGAAAAGCCCTACATATGTCAGGAATGTGGGAAGAGCTTCAGGAACAGCTCCAACCTCCACAACCACCGGCGCATCCACACTGGGGAACGGCCCTACGTGTGTAAGGAATGTGGGAAGAGCTTCAGCCAGAGCTCCACCCTCCACACCCACCAGCACGTCCACACTGAGGAACGGCCCTACAAGTGCTCGGAATGTGGGAAGAGGTTTCAGACCAGCGGGAATCTCCTCAAGCATGAGCAGACACACACGGATGAGAGGCCCTTCCGCTGCACCGACTGCGGGAAGGGCTTCAAGCAGAACTCCCACCTCGTCACCCACCGGCGCATCCACACCGGGGAGAGGCTCTACAAGTGTGAGGAGTGTGGGAAGAGCTTCACCTGGAGCTCTGCCATGACCTATCACCAACAGACCCACCGGTAAAGGAAGTCCTACCGGTGCCCTGTCTGCGGGAAGAGCTTCGGCTGCTGCTTCCACCCCGAATGAAGCCCCTGATGGTGAGGCAACCCCTGGAGTCCAGTGACTGTCAGTCCATCCCTTTCGACCACAAAGGGCCAGTCCCCTTTCCCAGGGGCAGGTTCTTCCAACAGAACCCTTCCTGGGGGGTTTGTGGAGATTCCTGCCTTGGCTGGGGACTCCCCAAGGTCACTCCTGGAGGTTGAGAGCAGAGATCTCCCCACGAGTGTTGGTCTGGGGGAGTTCCATCCATCTCTAATTAAGGATTATTACTTTTGTGCCATCTTGAGTAGAATTGCTTCAACAATTGCTTTACTGTCAGCACTGTCCTATCTTATCCTATACTCCTGGTAGTTTTAGTGTTTCTACTGTGCAGTAAATAATTCTGATGAAGATCTTTTGTCTGATCATTTGGAACCCTAACTAATTAATTTCTATCAATAGATCTTATTTGCCATCATTAAAACCTGGGGGACAGAAGTGTTTCAGTCACACCTCTTGTAATTCTTTTAAATTGAAACTGTTGTCATAATCCAAGGCTGAGATTGGATCCAGCAGCCCCCAGCACCCCACAGGAACTTGGGAGCTCAGGGGGGCCACCCCCCTTTCCCAACCCCCCTGTGCCCAAAGACCCCCATGGGACCATCGGACCTGCCAGACCACCCCGCCTTTTCCACCCTTCTCCCTGTTCCTCCCAATTTTCCATGGTCCCTCAATCCCCAGCCCTCCCATGATCACTTTTCAGGTCCCAACCTCCACCTTTTTCCTCCCTTTCCCACCCCTTCCACCTCATTCCCCACTCCCCAGCCCCCTCATGCTCAGTTTGGGGGTCCCACCCTGCCCTTTCCCCACTCTTCTGACCTCTCCCACCCATTTCCCATCATCCTCCAAACCTCAGTGCCCTGCCCTCCTCCACTTTTGGGGAGTCCCACTACCCTCCCACTCAGTTTGGGGTCCCACCACCCCTTTATCCCCTCTGAGCCCCCTTTTCTCACCGACCGCCCCCTTCCCACCCCCCACTCACCCGAGAGCTCCTCGCCCACAGCCAGGGGGGCTCCCAGCACCACCAGTACCCAGAGAAGTCCCCCCAGAAAAGGGTTGAGTGGGGTCCTGGGTGGGCTTTGAGTGGGTTTGGGGGTCCCTGGGGGGCTGTGGGGAGGTTTGGGGGGGGGGGTCCCAGCACCTTTTGGGGTGAGCTGGGTGCTTTATTGAGGGGAAGGTGCCCTCCCAAAGCCCTCCCAGAGTGGGTTGACGGGGGGGGGGTATACATGGTGGTCCCCATTCCCGATCCATCCCGGGGCCGGTTCTGCCCCCCCAAACTCGGATCCACACCTTGGGATCCACCTCCCCCCCCCCCACTGCCCCCAACCCGGGACTGGGGAGAACTGGGAAGCTTTACTGGGATCACTGGGAGCAGCCGGGCCCGAGGCCCCGGGGAGGGGCTGCGGCCGCCGCCGGCTCAGGAGCTCTGTGGGGAGAGAAAAGGGGGTGACACCGGGTGAGGTCCCCGGGGGGGCACAGACGCTCTGGGGGGGACACACGACCCCCTGGGACCCCCCTCACCTTCTGGCGCAGGTAGAAGCCGAGCCCCAGCGCCAGGGAGGCAAAGCCCAAGAGGAAGCCCCCGGCCCCTCCTTCGGAGCAATTCCTGAGGCTGATGGAGCCCAGCAGGGCCGGGGCCGCCGGCGGTGTCCGATCCCGGCAGGAAGCGGGGAGGGCCCCGGGGAGCGGCGGCGGCGGCGGGCGGGGCCCTGGGGGAGCCGCCCCGAGGGGTCCCCGCCGCCCGTGGCACTGAAGGAGTCGCCCCGGGACGGGCCCTGGCGGGGGTCGCCAGAGAGGGGGGGCGAGCTCTGAACAGAATCAACTCCGGAGAATAAACCAAGGAAAACCAAAGAGCCGCACCGGGGGAGTCTCCGCCGCCCCGGAGCTAAAAGAGCTGCCCCGCGGGACGAGCGAGGAGTGGCGGCGGTGAAACAGTCGCCCGGGGTGTGGCGAGGGAGGCGGGAATGGAATAAAAGAGAGAATAAAGAGAGAAATTGCTCTTTCTCCCTTCCCACCCCAGCTCCCTTTTGTATACAGATAAAACCAGGGATCAACACGTGCTTCCCTTTCCTCCTTTCCCCTCAGGGGAACTGAAAACAAAAAAGAAAACCTTGAGAAAGAAGGGGAAAAGCCAGCTCTGGAAAACTATCTCCTCTGAAATAAGTTGTGTTGCCAAAGGAAACCCTGACTCCAGAGGTGTCCAAGCGGCAGCAGAGCCCCCACCCTGCACACTCACACACTTCAGCTCAACATTGGGGTTTTCCCCTCCCTGGCACTGCCCAGTCCAGCCCCTCCCTGGTCCCCTCATCTCCCTGCCCCTGCCCCAGCCCAGCAGAGCAGCACAGTCAGGTC